TTTGGTAGAGAAGATCGGACAGATTTCGCCAAGGCAAGCTGGGCAGTCGCCTATTGCTCCTATTCCAGATAACCCACTGTACCCTGTCTGAAAGGAAGTAACGCTAGAGTAGACTCGCGAAAAGTGTATAAGACACTTTTAAGATCAACTAAATAGCTAAGCCCAAGGGAAGTCGTTCGGGGAGGCCCTCCCTAATTCCACAAGGGTGAGAAGAAACACACACGATAACGAAACGTTGAATCATGTAGAACTCGTAGGGTAAATGCAAAGCAAATTAGGAAGAATATGCAGTAAGCTAAGCGAAGAGGTAAGCAAGAGACATGTTAGACTATACTACAACTACTAAACGTGTTAGAACTACTGCTACACTACTACTACATACAAAAAAAAATAAAAACATATGCAATCAACAATTACTTGAAATAAAATGAACAAAAATAAGTATGCAAAATAATTCAAATTATGTACAAAAAAACATGCAAAATAAAGAATTAATTTGAACAAAATGGACTTAATGAATTCTACTAGATAGAGCATGCAAGATAAAGAACTATTTTAACTATGGGGTCATCTATGTCTTCTCCAACGTCGATCTGAAACAGATACGGTGGTAACAGATTAATAAAGAGCAATTAAAATTAATTATATCAAGTATTCTCACCTTAATTAACTGTAGATTGTAAAATTCCAAAGTTTATATGTGTAAAAAGCACAATAAATCCAGGAGAAATACCATAGCAGAAAATTCGTTGTTTCAGAAGAACTCAAAAAACCTCCAATTGCTCTCACTCGTCGGTTGAAAATTGACTGCATAATGGTTGAAGATGAAGACAAAGCAGCAAATCAAGAATATAGTCCAGGAAAGATGAAACCCATTGCTTGTTTCAGTATGACCAAGTTGACTTCAAGTCTCTCTCTTTTCTTGGATAATCTGCAGAAATGAACAAAAAACCTTATTAATTAAGGAAGGGATTAAGAACACCTAAAAACAGACCAGAAAGCAAGTAAAACAGTCGAATTATGAAAGGATGACAAGCCTCAATATTACACGACAGATCGTATTTGACATATGTGAAATAATCATAGATGCATAACGTCAATTCATGATACGAACAATAGATAACTGTTAAATGAAATACTATAGATGCTAAGCACAATAGATAAATGTTAAAGTGAGTACCATAGATGCACAACGTCAATTCCTACTGTGAACAATAGATAACTGTTAATATACTGTAACAGATTAATAGAATAGCACGTCATGCTTTATCACCTTAAGTGAAGAAGTTGCGTTCAAATGTGAAATGCGCAAGCCAAATCTAGGAGAGTACCACTGCAGACAATCTGTTGTTTGGGTGGTTCCCAAATTAATTTCCAGTTCTCTCCCTTACATCAAAAGCATTAGCATCGAAAATTAACTGAATTCCTATTCATGGACAATCTACAAAAACGAACAAGAAAAAGTAATCAATTACCACTTTTAGTGAAAACTTCTTTTCCCACATTTACTCTCATATCAAAATGTACTTATAGTTTGCATTCACAGCTAGAATTTGTTTTTTTAGTAGCATCGAAATGGATTTGTTTCCTTTGTCATCTATATAAAATACATAGAAATAAAGAAAACCGAATTAATTACACTACTAAATAAACAAAATTATCTTCAACTTTACAGAATGTTCAACACTTATTCATTTTCAAACGTTTTCAGTTATCTCACCTCTCCACAACAAAGTCCTTTAAGACTTAGAAAGCGAATCCACTGTCAAACTTTACCAGTAGGTTGAACTGCTGAAGGAAAAATTCGTTTGGCAAAGGCAGGAAAAAAATTATTCCCAATTGCATCTGCAAAAAGAGAAAAAAACAAGTGAAAACCAAAAATAATAATTTTGTAGAAACTGAATTATTTTATAAAATCAATTTATTTATAATGAACGAATTGATTGCTATTATTTTTCACAAAATCGATCGATTTACATAAGCCACATTCTAGGCCTGTTCCAGATTATCAAATATGGCCGAGTGAACTCCGTATGTATTTAGAAACATAATTAATGCGAATCGTAAAAATAATCCCATACCCGATAATTAAAATACGTACCACAGATAAAGCCGTAATTCTAGGGCGTATAGGGATATAAATTTTGTATGTATTATTACATTTTTAAATCGTCGTTGGTTGTTGATGTCGATTTAAAAAAAATGATAATTAAAGACATATACTGTAATTAACATAGATAAAGTAAGTAATTTTCAGGATAATTCCATAAAATAATATCAACTAGTAAGTTTATCCGCACGTTACCGAAGTTGACAGAAGAGGTCGCTGTTTCCGTTTGAATTTTTTCTGCCAAATTCAAAATTCCGGAGGAACCAGGAGAGTCAGAAAAGTTGGTTGTTGATTAATCATAATATTTTGTTAGTTAAAGTGAAACAAATAAAGTAAAAATTATTAAACAAATGAAATCAAATTCACTGTTACACTATGTTCTAAATATTTAGTAGTACCTGCTGTTGCAAAATAATCAGTAGTAACAACAATTATATAACAATTTAGCTAAAAATGTATAACTTTTATCTAATATATTTTGTAAAATAGATCTGCTGGTATTTATTGGTCACAGGTATGTAATTCATTAAATAATTAAGTTGATAACCATAATATGTATTTTATGCACAAAACAATTTGTATTTTATAGTTAGTAGTTTGAATCTTTGTTTTCAGGTATCAGAAAGAAAATTGTTACCCTGCCATTTGGAGTATTAACAATTTCTGAATGACTTATCATCATTATTGCAGCAATTCCATATAGAAGGCAAGGTATTCCTAAAAAACACCCATGTATCCACATACGGCATAGAAAATGAGTGTTTATATTTTATACCTAAGTTCATCAATTTAACAAGGCGAAAGAACAGGTCTTCTACACTTAAATCTTGGTATGGTCGTTTTGTACAATGATATTTTATATAAGGAAAACATCCTGTTCTTAGTATGTGATAATTAGAATTTCCCACTTTCCAGTTAAAGTGTGACATGCCAAACTGATCATCTTCTATATCAATATACTTTAAGAAAAACAGTGATAAAATATGAATATCTCTGGAATAGTTCAAAACCCTACTCTTATAAAATAGGAAGTCCAAGGGGGTTCTTTACGTTGTTTAAGATAAGACGTGAGAACAGAGGATGCTGTTGGGGCTGAGTGTTTTAGTTTTGAGGCACTCTTTTGTGATTGTAAGGCATAATTAACCACTACAGTTTTTTTAAAAAAGGTTTTTGTTTTCTGCAGAAAAGGTGAATTTATCATATTTGCTGTAAAATTAAAGCGTAAACATTATTGTAGCAGGTTAACTGAGGTTAACTTACAGTTAACGTCATAGTTAAGGGATATTATCATAGAGAAGGATATTATAGAGTACAGTATTATATATTTCTAATTTATGGCTAACATGCATTGACCATAGATAAGAAGACAACCTAAAATCCGAAAGTGTCTCTGTTAAACAAACTATCGTGTTTTTAAATAAAGCATTTAAAAGAAATTATTTATTTTTTTAATTTTAGAACATGTCGAATATGATACGCTAGTTAAATTAAATTCTGAACTATTCGAAAACTGTGGATTATCGATGGTACAGTAATAAATGATACTAATGGTATTTTGGTACCAAGTAATAATGGTACTTCGGTAACAGGTACTAGCTTATTAACCTTGTCCACGGTACTAACGAAGTTACCGACAAATAATAGCAAAATAAGAAGTTTCTGTTGGTCAGTATTCTATTTCGCTTTGTTAAATCCCGCTAAATGTACTGTTTTCTGCAAATGATGCTCACTTTGTTGTGGTAATTTAAGTACTAACAATAGACGTATGTATATAACAATAACAGCAAATAAGAAAGATAATTAATAGTATCTGTTCTTAATTTGTAAACCTGCAAAGAAATGTCAACGAGAGATAATACGCCGCAAATTACATAAACCGGACATGATATTCATTATATGAAATATTATTCTTGAAAATTCATTTCAGAATTTTTACCCACTACACACTTCCTCAAATTAATGAGGAAAAATTTGTTGCTGTTGTCATTCTATTGAGCCTCTATCCACCATTTATACAATGCAGTATCTATGGATTGTACTTGTCATTTGCACGTTGTAGATCTCCTGTCATGTTCATGTCATGGTCATGTAATACAATTTTTAAGGTGTGCGGTTGTTTTGTTTTTGATGTTGACTGTTTTGCTTTAACAAAGTGACTGCTAAAATTCTTAGCAAACTGGTAGCTGCAAACGTTTCGTTTTTGTACGTTTAGTAGGTTAACTAAAACATCTAAAAGACTATCGTTCTTCTTAGTGATTATAAATAGAACAGATATGTAAAACGGTCAACTGTTTTTGAATTGTTATATTATTATGAAGAATTTCTTCATAGATGTTTTATGTTTATTATGCTATATACATCGCAAAAATTTTTAATTGAGTTTATTAATTTAGTGAATGCTATAGATTATCTAGATTATCCAGCTATGTAAATTTTCTATACACATAAGTACCTCTATACGTCAAAGTATTTCATGTTTCCCTATGTTCGGGGAGCTAAGTGTAGGTGTTTGACTTATCCTTTGAAAGTTAAGTTAATAATTAATAACAATTCTATTGTGTTGCTCCAGTGTTGCGAGTAAGTGCTTTTTATAAAAGAGATGCAAAAAAGTCGAGTGCACCTTTGAAATGGAAAAGCTGAATACGGAGCTTATTCCCCTTTCATCTGGTGAGCATATTTATATATTTTATTTCCTAATTTCCGTTCCTATCTTTTACTGTTGTACACTGTTTAATCATTATTTGAAGAAACAATAAAAAAACATTAATTTTGTTTCCTGCAACCATATTTTTGTTTAATTACTGTGAAGAGTAGAACAAAGAAGGCAGATGTGGGGGCTGAGTATCTACTAAAATGCCTTTTCCTTGTACCTGTTCTCAGCATGACAGGTATAGGTACATATTTATAAAATATGGACATACATATCTAATTTAATAATAAGTATGTACATTTCCGTGAAAAGCCGATTTTGATGAATATCGGTGAATATCGATGCTAACCATTCTTGAAAATACCTATAGTACCTACTTAATATTAAAATAAAAATGGATATATACATATATAGCTAGATATATTTTTAACATTAGCTAGTTAATGTTGAGATTGGCTATTGGCTATTGTTAAGCTGAATAAAATCGAAGAGCAAGGAACTCAACGTTGACATTATTTTAAAAATATTACCAGAAACAAGGAAAAATTGTTATGATTATGACTAATAGGCAGAAATGGGCTAATGTCTGAAATAAGAAGTTAATTTGCGTACATTTTATTGTTATGTCTTGGGAAGATTGGCCTGATTATGGCAGTAGTGTTTACCTAGGCATATTTTTAACATTAACCAGTTAATGTTGAGATTAACTCTTGACTATTATTAATGCTGAATAAAATAAAAGAGAGCAACGAACCCAACATTGACAGTAGTGCTTACCTATATATCAATTGAAAAATATAATGTAGGTAACTTCTGATCAAGATCTATATTAATGTCGTCATTAGCCGGTTAAGATTAAATCGAGCTGAAGCTTAATGTAACTGGCTAATCTCGACGCTAATATCGATAAAATTAATTGGTTGATATCGAGATTCACCGAATTTCCCACTTCAACGTAACATATACCTGATTAATTATTATTTCTATTTTTTTATTTTAAGAATTATACATATTTTACGCACTTGTTCAGGTGTTTGTGGATAATAAATTATTGTCTGTGTATCTGCAATACGTACAATTTCTGGAGACAATGATGACTTAATATAAAGAAATATTTATAGAATTTGGAAAAAAATACACTTTAAGGAATTAAGTTATAAATAATAGTATTTTTTGCTTTCTAATTTCTGTGTTACGACGGATTTCAAATATTTTTATAACTATCTTTCATTTGAGAAAATTTCATTATGTTTTATGGAAAAGGTTGTAGTTTTTGAATTATTTATCTCTAGCTATACAATACATACCTACATGTAGACATATGTGGCAAAAGCAAAACATTATATTTAATTTATTCAAACAAATAACACGTTTTATTGTTTCTACTGTTGTACTTTTAAGTTTATAATGTGTTAATTACCTAATTTATTCCAATATTTCTATTAGACGTAAACAGATGTATGTAGGTATAGGTAGTGCTGCATTATTTACATTATATCTACATTATTTATAGCTTAAATAGTTTTGTAAAAAAAAGTAACTCATTCATTAGGTAACTAATAAAATAATTTTGAACTTTCATGGGTTTGTTTGCAATATTATCAAAAAGATATGTGAATTTAATTATATAAAACAGTATTCATACCGCTTTGTTCAAAAGGTGGCAAGCCACATTTTCAGTCAAAAAATGTAACGAGCATTCTTGTATTTACAATTAGCAAAAATTTTAGCAGTCACCGTGATGTGCTTGGAACAAGGAACCCAACAAATACCTATTAATAATACATATTGATAAATAATTGCAGTCGTTTGTTAAAAACGCTGTAGTCTGGAACTATATTTATTGTGCACACAATTAAAAGAGCGAATTTAATTTGAAAGCATACTGGTACGAATTTAAAGTATTTTTAATTCATCTCTTATAAAAAATGGATTCGAAAAATAATAATGAAATGTTGCACCTACTTGACGTTTAACTAATTTTCATGGTGTAATAAAAATAAATTGGTCATTTTTGAAGCTAATTCTTCATACTAATCTAAAATCTAAAAGGAGAAAACAAAATGTGCGTAATTTGCTGATAATTAATTAATAGAGTTAAGTTTTACGCAGTGTTTTAAATACTATTGGAACAAAGTAAAATTTGAATACCAAAAGAAAACTTGAAAAAATTTTGCCCATCGCCCATTTAACAGAAAAAAAAAAAGAATAATTTATGTACCTACTTATAGTATATTCGGAAACTAGCTGAAGGTTTCAAATGTCATTATTTAGGAAGAATCGACTTTATGGAATTCATTGAATGTTCATATTTTGTGGTCTTATTTACTGGAAGAATAATAAGAGCATTTAATTCGCAACTAGTTCGATTCGAAAGCATTTAATTATCATTTAATTACTTTGTTTCTCATTTGGGCACTTAATAAGCATTTAATGAGCGCTTAATCGCCCTTGTGCCTGTTTTTGATTCTGCTGATCTTTTGTTTACTCCAGAACTAGCAAAATAAATGATTTTTTTCCATATTTTTAAGCAATATTATTTAGAAATGAGAGATTCAGATCATAATTCTTCGCACGGTTTATCCCATATAAGGCGATTTCAAAAAATGATTATACAATATATGTATGAGAGTGTGGTCAAGACGGCTGTGTAAAATTTACGAGTGTGTATGTGTGAGTTTATTATGATGAATACGAAGGTACCAAATTCTGTGCGCAGGTCGCGATCGCTCGGCATCGATCCGGCGTCGCGACGTCGCCGTCCGGCTGGGCCTCCTCAGAACCTGAGCGCAAAAGGGCTCCATTGGTGACGTCAGGACTCTTCATTCCTGGCACAACAGGTATTTTATGAGCTGCACTAATTCGCGACGCTCACATTATATAGTTGGCTTTGGACGTATCGGTTTTTTTTTTATTATTGTTATCGTCCGAATGTGTGCTGTTTGTCGCTCGTTATTTTCTTTTCTTTTGTTTTAACAAAATGTTATTTGATGAGTAGTGTTCGTTCGGTTTTTCGAAGAGCGACCGTTCGATTGTGGTAGTAGTAAGATGTAGTAAGTACACAACTGAGATTTATAATTGTCTGTTTGTAGAGTACAATCGTAATAGCAGATCGTCGTAGGTATGCGATTTGTTTGTTTGCATGAACCAACAGCAGTAGTAAATTGTGTGTACCTAGTTGTTATTTCGAACACAAATAATGGAAAGTGGTGGAATTAAAAATTGGTTAGTGCCGGTCTTTAGGCTTGGAACATTGTAGTCTTGATAAAGACTCACAACAAGGGGCGAAACGCTATTGGCTCTGATTCTCTACTCTCTATGAAATATAATTAGCATTTTCTGACACAATTATTCTTATCTATATGCATTATTAACGAAAACCGCTCTTAACAAATAATACAAACAATTTTTGGGAAAGGGATGGACTTAATACTTTCAGCGGTTCTAAGAACTTGAAAATAATCAATGTTTAATTTGGTAAAAATTGGGAAATTCCACCTACGACTTCAGTGAATTTCAAATTCACGTTGTAATCTAATTGTAAAGTACCCATGATATATATCATTCCGTTAAAACAATAGGGCGAAACCGCGGGCCCAGTTCGTGCATGTATAAACAAGGATTTTGCATCCTCACCTTTCGATCCTACAGGGAAAATTGAGCCTGGAGTTCCATGAATATGTAGGGTCTCTTAATATAGACAAAGAAATTATGATGAGCACGGTAACGTGAATAAAAATAGACCATTGGTACTCTACTATTTAACCAACTAATTAACTGATCTGGTTATTGATCAAATTAGGTGACTTTTTTAATTTATTACAATTCTTCATTTCAATAAGGAACATTCAAAGAAATAAATGTGCATAATGCGTCCACCTCTTGGCAGAGAAATGGGTAAGTTTTTGAAGTATTGGAGTTGCTTCCTGACAGTCATTTTCAAAATAATGTAGTCTCATCCCATACAAATTAGAATGATTTGAAAATATAATGTATGAGTTAATTCAACTCGCTGCTGCATAAGTTTTTGTATGTTTGGTTGTTGGTGGTTTATCGAAACTGCCTGTGGCGTGCCGATGAGAAGTAATAAGTTGAAAATTGCGATTCACGTTTGGTAGTTTCGAAGTTTCCATATAAATTTCCGAGCAAGAACTTATTAATTCTTTAGATCTAGATTGTACTTGTAAGAATAATTGCTTGAGGTCTTACATTCTAATTAAATCGATCAAGTGGATTGTGTATATTTAAATGTTATTTCCTGATTTTGCAAATAACAACCCTTGTATTTTCGATCTGAGCTGGAGTCAGGAATTCTGTATTACTAATGAAATTTTGGGTGGATAATTTTATGAAGCTATTACGTTCATGAAGGGAAGGCTTGTTAGTCGTGGTTCACGACCGCAAATTGAGTTAATATATACCTATAGGTAAATAACTCCCTGTAATATTCCGTTCCCATAATTCGGTTTCGCTCTAACGAGATCTCATCAGAATTGAGGAGCTAGAGTTAGTACGGCATGTGATAAGTGTTTTTGAATTAAGCAAGTACCTCCCTATTTGAATAGTTTTCATTCAAGATAATTTTGAATCAGTATTTGGACAAAAATTTTCACTGAAGTTTAGTACCACACCAGATAACGCATAGATTGTTTGATAATTTCGCGGCTAATAAATAAAATTGAAATTTATTTTGTTGTTATTATTGCTGAACCTTAAATTATTATCGATTTTCACCAGAAAAAAGAGGATTATATTACAAACAATAAATTTTTGAAAACAATTGCGAAACCAAAACAATTGATAATGTTTTTCTAATTGTTTTAGTGAAAATAAATTGTTACCCTTGAAATTGTTAAAACCTTATTTGGTTGTAAACGTTCATAGTGTTTTTCTAAATGGTTTATGTTTGCTTGACTCCGTATATAAATAAATTAAAAAAAATGCAAAAAAAATTAACGTTACTGTTAAGCAAATCATATATAAAAATAAAAAAATGACAATGAAACTTGCTCGCTTA